GAGAATGATCGAATTTTGCACAATCAATGACTTATTCATAGCAAATACATTTTTAAGAGACATAAACGCAGGTTATATACCTGGATTTCACCTGATGGTACGCATAGGAATCAGATGGATTACATCTGTGGAAAGAACCACTGGAGAAGCTCAATATCAACTGTGAAAAGGCCAGGAGCTGATTGTGGAACAGACCACCAACTACTCATATGCAAATTCAAGCTGAAGTTAAGGAAAATTAAACCAAATCCAAGGCAACCAAAATATGACTTTGAGTCTATACCACCTGAATTTCAAAAACAAGACTAGAGGGGTGGAAATCTCTGAGCATATTTTTTCCCTCTTAGATCATTTCCTTAGGAGAAAACTCAGGGTAGCATACTACTGGCTCCAAAAGCATTTTTGAAGCTTTCTAAAACATTTGCCAAATAGCTTTTAGTAATTTTGTTGCCAGTCTCTGCTACCACCGAATTAAAGAGTCTACGCATGTTTCCTTACATATAAAGACATGTCCTTTCCCACATAGGTCTGTGGCTACATTTATTGTTTGTATCACTTTTGTAAGCGTTTTCGCAGTGTATATGTACCTAAAAGAGGTGAGATGAAGGGTCCCAGACCAGTGTCTCACTCTGGGGTAAGGTATCTCTCTTTCTCCCTCTCCCACCCACCTCACTCCCCCTTTCAAGAAACTGGAAAATCACCCTTTTGAAAGTCTTTAAGTTTTTAAGTAAGGTGGATAAAATCCAATTTAACCACTCTTCTGCTGTTATCTACTCATGCTGTAGTTCTAAAATGAATCTTGACCGGCTTAGAATGAATGTGCCTGCCTTCTTTCATTTAGATTGTTGCCAGATGTGACTTAGGAGACACTGATGCGGAGGCAACTGGAATCCCCTCACTAACAGCCCTTTGCTTATCCTAGGAGACTCCTAGATATGGTGGCCTATTTAACGGCATTCCTCCTTATGTGGGTATCATTATTTAAGGAACCGGGAGGGGGGATAAACACTTCCCCAAGCATGAGTTTTCATTTGGGGCTACTGCAGTGTTAAATTGGAACCTTACGGTGTTGAGTCACCCCAGTGAGTGTGATCAGAGTTTGCAGAGGGATTGACCACCATGGGGGCACAGATTGCTTTGTTGGCTCACCAGGGGTGAAAGCCTCAAGCAAGTGGGGTAACCTGGCTGACTGCTGGAAATTGGCAGTGGTGTATACTTGGGACATCTCTAAGCACTGGACTCTGGCTAGAGAAGCAACTGAGCCCCACAGCCATCTTCCAATACTTAAATCACCATAAATACTTAGAAATAACCTCTTTTAGCCTTTTTAGAAGGGACAGCCTCTTAATATTTGCAAGCCACTGTATAATGCAGAGGAGTCCTAGTGACAGTGTTTAAGCACGTGGCTGCTAACTGAAAGGTCCTAAGTTCAAGTCTGCTTCCATAAAAAATTTTTTAAATTTTATTTTGTGATTTTAACGCAAGTTTACAGAAAAGTTAGATTTTCATTCACTCACTATTGAACATTTTATCCACTCTCCCTTCCCCTGCTTCCATAAAAATTTATAACCTTATAAACCAGGACAGTTCTGTACTGCTGGGTCGTTAATAGTTGAGATCAACTCAAGGGCAGTGGGTTTAGATATTATTTAAAAAGACCTAAGGCACATTTAGACTTAACAAGTTTGTTCTTCCAGAGGGTCAGTGAAAGAGAAGACCCTCAATGAGATGGCTTGACACAGTAATGCAGCAGTGGATTCAAGTATGTCAGAGATAATGAGGATGGCACAGGACAGGCTTCTGAACTGTTGTTCATAGGGTTACTGTGAGTCAGATTCAACTCGATGGCACCAAATGACGACAGCAGTTTGTTCTTCTAAGTATTGAGAGTAGAGAAGGCAATCACAATTGGGGAAAAAAATCCAAGGAAGTTGAGGGTATAATAGAGAAGGCAGACTGAGTAGTGGTATTAACTACATTTTACACACAAGGAAATTGAGGCAAAGAGGTCACTAACCTGCCTTGGGTCACACGGTGAGTCAGCAGTGAACCCAAGACTTGACCCCTGTTCATATCTTGTACTGGTAAGACTAATACCTTTTTCTGAGCAACATCATTGGAGCTCTTTGGAAATCAGGGCTCCCCAAGACCTTGCCATGAGTTGGGCCTGCTCAGCCTGGCAGTTCTCACTGTCTTGAGGCTTTGAAGACGTGTGGCTGCGGTGGACATGGAGTATGTTGAGGAAGGCATGCCAGGAACCAGTGTTTAGGCTTTCCTGGTGTCTTTCTGATGGTGGCAGCATAGATCTGGATCCTTAAAGAGCAATGTGGGAGTCTCCCCAGTCCTAATTAGGTGATTTTTAGAAAGAGCATTAAATGAAAGTGAATTTCCATGTTTTTCCAGTCTCAGTTGGTGCTGGGATGTTCTTACTGCTTTTCTAGCGTTTGTACCTTTTTGGGTTTTTTTGTTGTGTTTGTGGGGGGTTTTTTGTATACCATCGATTCGGATCCGACTGGCATAGGGAGAGATTGTCCCTTCTTCTCCAGCGGAGCATATGGTGGATTCAAACTGCGTGCCTTCTGGATTGCAGTGCACTTGTACCTTTTTGATAAGCAAATTAACCTTTAATATCAGCTGACTCTAGGTCAGAGTTGCTGACAATACAGTGTAATTAATTTGATTATTTACGGTGTAATGTAAACCTTTTTTAAAAGGAAAAAATTGTGAAATTTTTTATAATAGCAATTGCCAAAATATAGATAACTTTTACCAATTCCATTAAGAAAGAAATTATTAGAAAGCTTTAGTCCAGATAATGCCAAAACTACAGAAGAGGAATAACAGATCTGGTGGACTCTAGTCAGGGACTCCTAGTCCAGGCCAGATAAGGCAGATGTCACTGATCACTAACGTGGGGCATAGGGAGGCCTTCTGGCCGAGAGGCAATCTCAGTTGAGCAGTGGGCAGTTGTAACTTTTTTTTTTCCCTCCTCCTTCCAGAAATGGGCCTGAATTTGAAGCTAGGATACGACAAAATGAGATCAACAACCCCAAATTCAACTTTCTGAACCCTAATGACCCTTACCATGCATACTACCGCCACAAGGTCAGCGAGTTCAAGGAGGGGAAGGCGCAGGAGCCCTCGGCCGCAATCCCCAAGGTCATGCAGCAGCAGCAGCAAACCACCCAACAGCAGCTGCCTCAGAAGGTTCGGAGCGTATTCCCTCCCCAGACTAACCCAGGGCCACGGGGAGGAGAAGGGCCATGAAATCTGCTCCCCAGGCCTCAGAGCCACCCAGGGAGGGAAGGGACACCCAGCACAGATGACAGCTAGCCTTTACGGAGCTTGTCAAGCCCTGAGCTCGGTGCTTCAGTAGCACATCTCATCATTGCCTTTTCACAGTGGCTCAAGAGCAGGCCAGACAGGGAATCTGATTTTCCCCAAGTCCATACTCTTCAGCCCCTACTCTCTGCCTTGACCATTGCTGAGAGTACTGTGTGACGGACCTGTTTGCCATTGCTGAAGGAGACAGTGTGGCCTGTGGTCCCCTGTGTGCCCCCTCCCTTCCCTTAGATCTTCCCCCAACAGAGCCTCTCCCTCTGACTCATCTTAAAACCATACTCCCTGCACTGGGACTTGGAAACTCTGAGACTGAGCTCAATGAACTATTGGTGAGAATGACAGAAGAAAGAACTGGCATACTGAGTCCGGAGCTGGACTGGTCCCTTCGTCTTGCCCTACTTTTGAACCATAGGGGAAAAGACAACACTTGATCTTGCAGTGAGAAGGAAAGATGGGTGATTAAAGTCAGGTTCCAGGAGTTCAAATTGCCATTTCCTGCTCCTTGGGCCTCAAGCTACCCCCGCTTCCTTACCTATAAAAAAGATTGATTCACATTACCCATTCTGTCTACCACACATGGTTCACATGAAGGTCAGGCAGTATGAAAGTCCTTTGTACCATAGGGTCCTCTTCATGCATAACGTCGTTCTTAAGAAACCATATTGCTCTTGATTGCATAACCAGCCCCTTGCTTTCAGGACTGGAATGGAGAGTAGAGGGTCTTGAGTCTCAGTCATGGCCATTTAGAGAGTTTAATTCACAGCCGGCTGACACATTGGCTGGCACTCTTGCCAAATGCTGTCGATGTGGATTTTTTGAGGGAAGCGTAGAGGTCAGCATTGCCCCTGTCTTCCTGGAGCGCAGGAATACCCCAGTATCTCTTTTTCTCATCCCTCTGTTGCTTAGGTCCAAGCCCAGGTGATCCAAGAGACTATCGTGCCCAAAGAGCCCCCTCCTGAGTTTGAGTTCATCGCAGATCCCCCCTCCATCTCCGCCTTCGACCTGGATGTGGTGAAGCTGACGGCTCAGTTTGTGGCGCGGAATGGACGCCAGTTTCTGACACAGCTAATGCAAAAAGAGCAGCGCAACTACCAGTTTGACTTTCTTCGCCCGCAGCACAGCCTCTTCAACTACTTCACAAAGCTGGTGGAACAGTATACCAAGGTGCTCGGTCAGGGTGTTTAGAGGGTGGTGAGGGGTGCTACACCCAGGGCAGGAGGTGCCTGACTTCAGTGTCCAGCCACTCAGGTTAGAAGGGCACTGTCCTGTGGTACCTCAGGGCAAGCGTTAGAAACTCATATGCGTTTTCCTTTCCATTCAGTTCCTCCTTTTTTAAAGGCAGCTTGTTAAGAGAAACGTGATGTGAGGGAGCTCTGGTGGCCTAGTGGCAAGAAGCTGCGCTGTAATTCCAAAGGTGCGTGGTTCAATTCCACCAGATGCTGCTCCGCTGGAGAAGGAGGGGGGCAATCTCCTCCTGTGCCAGTCAGTTCCAATTCGATGGTACACAACAAGGAGGGGGAAAAAAAGAGAAACATGATGCTTGATTAATCTACCATTCTGTCAGTGCCCCAATGTGACAAGACCATGTTGTTCTGCCTGCCGTTGAGCATATGGAAATTCTCACCCCCCAGTGAGGCTGGAGAAGAAGGAAACCCTTAATCGTCGAGGATCCATGAATATTTTTCTCTTGTTATCTTTTTCTGGTAAAAGAAACTGATGCTCAGGTACAGTCACTTAGTCTCTCAGTTAATAAATGGTTTCGCTGAGAAATTAAGCCCACATTTGACACTCAAATCCTTGTTTTCCAACTGATAAAATACCAGAAATGTCATTCACGTATTAGCACTTTTGCTGTAATAGGTAAATACAACAGACACTCACCAAGTGCATAAATAGCCAGCATCTCATTGGATAACTAACATGAGGTTTCATTGCTGGATTTATGCTACCAGAGAACACTGAAGCGCAGTGAAGTTGGCCAAGGCCACTCAGCTAGGGAATCTCCATTTGAGTTTAGGCACTTTCATTCCAGATTCTAAGATCTTTATTATCCGGCTACAGTCAGCAAGCTGTAGATAAGTCAATCCTGGGATATTTAAAATGTCACCTTGTTGATTTACTGTGAAGGATACATGAAGTTAGTACATGAGGACCTCATGTTTGGAAGGGTGGAGGGACAGTACAAGAGAGGAAGACAGGACGGATTGACACAGGGGTAAATAGGGGTAGGTGTGTCTGAGACAGTGAGACTGGCTTAGGATAGAACAGGGTTCAGAGTGTGTGTTGTGTGTCTGGTCACTATGAATTGCAGGTGACTCAATGGCACATAATACCAGTATAGATTTGCTTGGTGCAGTTTTTCTTTATCCTTCCCTTTTCCTGTGCAGTGGTCTGCACATCTGTTCTTGATGTCTGCTGAAGAGATCTGTCTCCTGGAAGGATTCATAATGATTTTTCAGACTTAACTTTAAGTATGTTGTTGTTGTTGTTGTCGAGTGGCGTTGAGTTGTAGACAACTCATGGTGACCCTATGAACGAAAGACCTGAACATTTGTATAACTCTCATCATTTCTCCACATTCATAAGAGTTTCCAGAGTCAAGCTATTTTGGAAGTGATGCCACTCCTTCTTCCAATCTTGTTTTAATCAGGAGGCTCCACCAAACACTGTCGCCATGAATAACCATAATCACATTTGATATATCCGTGTCACAGTGTTTAGCATCACAGCAACCATGAGTTACCTCTGTACAGCAAATGGACAGACTAGTGCTATACCACTTAAGACAGTGCTATACCACTTAGAAAAATTTTTGACCAAAAATAATTAAAACCAGGCCTGAGGGCCCAAGTGCATTTTTTAAATAGGAGGAGGCCCTGAATCAAATCATCTCACACCCATTAGCAAGTCAACATTCCACCCTAATCCTCAACAGAAGCAGCAGACAAACCAACCTTTGTAGAATCTGCCTGCTGCAGAGGACTTCCAAATTGCATTCCAGCTCCTACTTTAAGTACACACTCTAAAGAATTGTAAAAATAGGGAAGCTCTGGTGGCCTAGTGGCAAGAAGCTGCACTGCAATCCCAGAGATATGCGGTGCGAATCCACCAGATGCTCTGTCGGAGAAGGAGGGGCAATCTCCTTCTGTACCAGTCAGATCTGATTTGACGGTACAGACACACACAATAATAATAAAATAGAAACTAAAGAATTGTGAAAATAAGTGTATTTTGGAAACCAAGTAATTATAAAGTTGCTGAAATAACAGTGTTTGAAAGCCTAAGGCCAAAGAATTGCTAACAATTGTCATTAGATCCTGTTGAGTTTGACTCTACTTATAACAACTCTGTACAACAGGACAGGAACACTGCTGGATCCTGAGTCACACCTAATATCTGAGCCTTGTCACAGACTGTTAATCCATCTTGTTGAGAGTTTTCCTCATTTCCTGCTGGCCATCTACTTTACCAAGCGTGATTTCCCTCTTTGAGGGACATTGCTGATTGGCCGCTCTACTGACATATTGAAAGTGTGTGAGCTAGGAGTCGCACTATCCTGGCTTTTGAGTAGCATCTCTCTGCTTTCTTGCAAGAAGTACTTCCTTGTTCTTTTGGCAGTTCATAGTAGATTCCATATTCCTTGTTAGCACCACAACTCAAGACTTGAATTTCCTTGCTCTTCCTTACTCATTGTCCAGCTTTCTGTTACGTAGGAGATGATTTAAAAATACCATAGCTTCAATAGTGTGCACCTTGGTCCTTAAAGTGATGTCCTTGCAGTTTGGTACTTTAAAGAGAGCCTTTGTGGCAGAGTTACCCATTTGTATGTCCTTTAATTTCTTAACTGCTGAGTACACAGTATTAATTTTAAGTATCAGGTAATTTTTCCCAGTGAACTGCTTCCAGAACTCAATTTAAATATTGACATTTGCTACTTTAACTTCAAGGAACTCTGTCTTAGTCGCTGCGTTACACTGCTAACCCAAAGGTGAATGAATGATGGCTCAGAGCCACCAGCTTTTCTGAGGGGAAAAGATGAACAGACTCCTTCTGTGAGATTTACAGCCTTTGAAAACTTGGTGGAGGAATAGCTGTAAGTCTGTCTCAGGAAAGGAAACCACTTTAAGGTAGAGGTACGTGGAGGACTAATGGAGCCAGGTGTTGAGGCCCCTTCTACTGACTAATGACATTTAATGCGGTAGGCATTTAGAATAGCAGGTTGGTTAGAACAAACCCAGACTTCATTTTCTCAGTAAATTCACAGAGTTCCTTTCTCAATGCTGGAGATAGCACTTGTGAACAAAAGAGGGAGAGATCTTCATGGTTTTAGTCTAATTGGGTGGAAACAGGTAGTGTCAGTATATGTCAGATAGTGTTAAATGTTATTGAAAGAAAACTGGATGAAAATACAGGGAGATGTAGGGCTGTGGACTGTAGACTGTAGATCAGGGAGTCCAAGAATGCCCATGACCATGTGTGAAAGCCCGAGATGGCCTGTGAGTACATGTGAAAGGCTAACGCACCAGTCATGGTTAAAGCAGCCCTCACATTTCTTATGGTGTGCTGAATAATCTGGTGATTTTGCATCCGTTTCTTACTAATGCTTGAATGACCTTTTAAGTTTTTTTTTTAAGTTAACATCAACTTAAAGCACCAGTGTTAGTTTTTGTAGAAGGAAATCAAGTTACAGTGGCTAGATAACTTGCGCAAAGTCACACAGCCAAGCAGAGCTGGGGTTGAGATTCAGAATCCTGTGTTCTTCAGGGAGCTCTGGTGGCTTAGTGGTAAGAAATTGTGCTACCAATCCAATGGTATGCAGTTCTAATCCACCAGCTGCTCTGAGAAGGAAAGATGGGCAGTCTCCTTGAGAGAGAAAACTTCCTGGAGGATCAGCTGTGGGTCAGTTCCAACTCAGTACATAACCACTTCAGGTCCAGGCAGGCAGCCTCTTTCATGCTGTGTTAACATTTCTATGTTTCAGATCTTAATTCCACCAAAAGGCTTACTCACAAAGCTCAAGAAAGAAGCTGAAAATCCCCGAGAAGTTCTGGACCAGGTAAACAGAATAAGATACCTTGCAGCCAGTTCCTATTGGTAAAAACTCTGAACTATTTAGATCCTTTCCTGTGTTTGGAAACTAACTGTTACTACCTTGTTAGGCTGGGGACTCGGCAGTGCTGAGAAGAAAGGTGGTGTGGTATAAAAGACCAAAGGAGTCTGTACTTCTCAGACTTAAATGTTATTTTATGTCTTGCTGTTCAGCTTTAAAATTTCTATTCTTTCCTAGTCTAAACAGTGCAGGTTCTAGGGTGATAGATTCCATGTAATGCCCCTCATATTTTCAGAGTGAAAGCATATTCTCTGTGCTGGCTTTTTTCTGTGCTCTCACACTGACTTCATAGATTGTTTTGCCACATTCTCAGCATTGAGCCTCTTGCCAACTCAGGCATTTTGTGGTTGGAATAAATGGCCTTTGGGGCCCAGGCAGGGTTTCTGTAGCATTTAGAGTTTTCATCCTCTTCAAACTCTGACCCTGGCCAAACTCAGGTGCAAGTGCTGTATTTGGCTCCAGCAAGTTCCCCTGCGGGCCGAGCAGCCTCCTGTGCTGAAGGTGGTGCTGGCCTGCGTGACGGCCCTGCAGGTGATCCGCTCACTGGGGCGAAGCTCGGCCCAGCCAACTCTGTGTCATGCTGTTCGTCATCCTACTTGCAGGTGTGCTACCGAGTGGAGTGGGCCAAGTTCCAGGAGCGTGAAAGGAAGAAGGAGGAGGAGGAGAAAGAGAAGGAGCGAGTAGCCTATGCCCAGATTGACTGGCATGATTTTGTGGTAGTGGAAACTGTGGACTTCCAGCCTAATGAGCAAGGTAGGTCCATGAGCAGAGGGATCCTAGGCAGGAAGGCCATGCTCTGAGCTGTCATGTGGGTCCCTACACCACTTACCATTCCCAGGGCAGCAGACTCTCAGCAGGCTTTATGTCGTATCTGTACTCCCTGAAGGCCCAGACAAGTCAGAATTAAATCCAGTTCAGCAGATCCTGCATTTACCCTGGGTGGGCCTCTGGGGAAACATAGCTGTAATCCTTGGCTCACAGCTGAGAGGGACTTTTGGTAAAGGGCATCTGAGGAGGGATCCCTCTGACTCTGGTTCACCGTTTGCCAGGGAACTTTCCCCCTCCTACCACCCCTGAGGAGCTGGGGGCCCGGATCCTCATTCAGGAGCGCTACGAGAAGTTTGGGGAGAGTGAGGAGGTCGAGATGGAGGTCGAGTCCGATGAGGAGGATGAGAAACAGGAGAAGACAGAGGAGCCTCCATCCCAGCTTGACCAGGACACTCAAGTGCAGGACATGGATGAGGTTCGTGCCTGGATGGGTTTGGGGGTTGACTTTTCCCAGACCCCAAAGGGATATTGGGTGTTGGCATGTGGACCCTCAGCAGGGATGCACCGACCACCCAGGCCGAGGCAGTACAGAGCTACTACCCAGCTTCAGTAACAAAGAGTCATTGACAGCCCAGGGTCTGGCTGCCCTCCTGGCACTACTGTCTTATGGCCTCCTCTTTAACCCAGAAGGTCCTGTCCTGCCACTTCAACACCAGCCCTCAAACAGGACCCCCTTTCTGTGTTGCTGTGTGCTTTCCTAGCATTTTGACCACATTGTTTAGGCCCATGATCCATGATACCATAGATTTACTAGGTCTTGTTCCTTTGGCCACCTTGCTCCCCTCCAGCCAGACCCCCCTCAGCCAGCATGAGCCTGGACTCTCCAGGGCCAGGCTGCCCTCCTCCCCTGAGATGGACTCTGCAGCCTGAGAAGAAAGGGCCCCTGTGTCTGTGGGAATCGACTTTTTCTCTCCCTCCCAGCACTGCTCTGTGTGAGCAGCTCCCACTGAGCGCCTACTCAGCCCTGGCCCCTCCCTAGTGTGTTAAGTGCCCTTGGCCTCTTGGGACCGCCTGGTGCCAGCCGCTGGAAATGCCTGGGAGGAGTGTTGGCACCATGGCCCTCAGCGCTCCCATTCATGCCGGCAGGAAACAACTTGGCCTGCTGCCGGCTGGGCTCAGCCGCTCTGGGAGGCTTAGCACATGGCCGGTGGGGGCCAAGGCTCCTGGCCACTCTGAGAGCTGCCACGGCTCGGTTGCCAAAGTGGCCTCTTGTCCCCTTTCTGAGTCTTGCCATCACTTTTTTCCCAGGGTTCAGACGATGAAGAAGAAGGGCAAAAAGTGCCCCCACCCCCAGAGACACCCATGCCTCCACCTCTTCCCCCAACTCCAGACCAAGTTATTGTTCGCAAGGATTATGACCCCAAAGGTAGGGCTCGTTTTCTAGTCATTACACTGCGTGGGAAGTTCTCCATCCCTCATGCATCCCTCAGGCCTCCCATTTCTGAGAAGGACTCGAGACAGCTTGTTGTAAAAGCATCCCTAGCCTCTCTTCAGGGCCTTACAGCAAGGAATGGGGCTTACGCTTCTCTGGCGCCCTGGTACACAGCGCACACCTGAATAGATGAGGCACCACCCGCCTTTTTTTTTTTTTTGCACATGCACCAGTTACTTTATGTACAATAAAAAATAGGGAAAGGGAAATTAAAGAAGAAAGAAACCTACACTATAGTATCAGGATGTGCTGGAACCAAATTGTGATTTTCTAAGTTAGAATGTATTCTTGGACTGTACCAACAGAGTTCGGGAGTAAAACAGCAGGCTCCTCTGTTTGTAGTTTTAGAAGATACATCCTCTCCTATCTGCTGCTGGAACTCAGCAGTTGTGTATCTTCAACCTCCATTTCCAACTTGAAGCACCACCTTCTTAACCCTGTCACTTCATGTCCTCACAAATGTCTGTTTCCTTTTAGCTTCCAAGCCGCTGCCTCCAGCCCCTGCTCCAGATGAGTATCTCGTGTCCCCGATTACTGGGGAGAAAATCCCTGCCAGCAAAATGCAGGAACACATGCGGATTGGGTTGCTGGACCCCCGCTGGCTAGAGCAGCGGGATCGCTCCATCCGAGAGAAGCAGAGCGACGATGAGGTGTATGCGCCAGGTGAGCTGGGCTGCAGGCTCTCAGAGTTCCCCAACCCGATCCATACCCTTTTCTCTGACTCCCCTTGGCCTGTGAGAATCTCAGAAATACAGTGTACTTGCTTAAGCAAGCCTAGGAAAAAACCATATGAAATCCACAGATCCTTTGGAGGGTAGATTTGGCTCTTTTGTTTTTCCCAGAAGGACTTTGGGAATCTTTCAAAGTCTAGATTCTTTGTGCTGATTGACATCCTAGAAAAACGATTCTGCTCTCCAGAAGGGCTACCTACTCCTGGGGCTGTGAGCGTGAGGGGACCAGTGTCTTGTAGTGCTCTGAGGTCTCTCTAAGCTACATTTGAAATGCAACAGGCTGGACCAGTTACCGTTACATGAAGAGAAGCTTGTGGGGAAAAAAATTGCCTTTGAAGGCAGGATGCTGACTGTGTACTCCCGATTCTGCTACTTGCCCCTCGTGTGAAAGGTCTCTTGGGTGTCTCTCTGGCCCATTTTCCTGTAGGAAGTCAGATAGCTGGGACAAGCACTGATTTGTCTGTTGACAGCCTTCGTCAGGCACATGGGGCAGGAGCCATTTGTTGAGAGCCAGTCTCATCCCGTGGACCCAGTCTACCCCTGCTCTCGGGAAGGCTGGTGCCTTGTCAGACAATGGGCACCTAATTCTGTTCTTTTTACTCTCCTGCTTTTATTCTGTGACTGTGTGCAGGCCTGGACATTGAGAGCAGCTTGAAACAGTTGGCTGAGCGGCGTACTGATATCTTTGGTGTGGAAGAAACAGCCATTGGTAAGAAAATTGGTGAAGAGGAGATCCAGAAGCCAGAGGAAAAGGTGCCACAAAAGTTAATCCTAGTGCCCCTTCCTCACTGTCTGTTCCCACACTTGGGCTCAGCTTCAGGAGCGCTGACAGCCCGTGGTTTGCTTTCCCTGGTAGGTGACTTGGGATGGCCACTCAGGCAGCATGGCCCGAACCCAGCAGGCTGCCCAGGCCAACATCACCCTCCAGGAGCAAATTGAAGCCATCCACAAAGCCAAGGGCCTGGTTCCAGAAGATGACACCAAAGAGAAGATTGGCCCCAGCAAGCCCAATGAAATTCCCCAGCAGCCACCACCTCCATCCTCAGCCACCAACATCCCCAGCTCAGCCCCACCCATCACCTCTGTGCCCCGGCCGCCTGCGGTAAGCCAGAAGTCACCCATATACTACTGTTCTTGGGATTAGAAACTGTTGACTGTAAGGGGCAGCTGCCTCCTGGTGGTTCCTGAGTGCTAAGTGGGTCAAGTTGAGGAGGAAAGCAGCTTTTAAGAAGTAGGACCCCCTCGCCTGATCGTCCATCTGCATAGGAGTGGGGAGGAAGCAAGTGGCAGAGCAGGCAGGAGGCAGAGAAGGGCCGCAGGACTTAACTGGTACTTTTGCAACTGCTGGCCCATCTCCAGGAAGCTAATTCGAGGTCAGACGCTTTAGTGCTTCTCAGTGACCGCCTTAAGCTGACGATTGACCCATGGAGTCCCCAGTGGGGAGTGTTGCCCTGGCCTCTCAACTTTGTCAGGCACTCGAGTGGGAGGCGGCAGTTTCTCCCCCACAAGAGGACTGGTTTGGAGTGGTCCTACACCCGTGCTTGGAAACTCTTAAGTGGCTAGTTGCCAGGCTGTGTCTAAGAGCCCAACCTTGATTTCCTATGACCTGTGGATACTTTTCCCCTGACAGATGCCACCTCCTGTCCGCACCACAGTGGTATCCGCAGTGCCTGTCATGCCCAGGCCCCCAATGGCATCTGTGGTGCGCTTGCCCCCAGGCTCAGTGATCGCCCCCATGCCACCCATCATCCACGCACCCAGGATCAACGTGGTGCCCATGCCTCCCTCGGCTCCTCCTATCATGGCGCCCCGTCCACCCCCCATGATTGTACCAACAGGTTAGTGTCTCTTCTATTACTTTGCATGCTGTTGAGTCAGGGACTTCACAGACCAAGAACTCTGAGAGAGGAGTAGCTGATGGGAGTGTGCTGGGGTGCGGGCCTAGAGGAGACGTCTGGCTTCCCTGTGTAAAGATTCCCCATTGGGTTGCGGCAGATTAGAGGGTGCCTTGTAACAGCTGGTGTCTGCACCTAGAGAGAGTCAGAGGGTTCAGGCCCTGGACAGATGCAGAAGCCGTGACTGGTCAGTCACCTGCTGTCCAGTGTGGGCAGCCTCTCAGGCCCTCCTACCAGGAAGTCTGATAACTGCCATACTTGACAAGCAGTATCAGTTCACACTTCACACTGGGGAATGTACACGCCCTCCCTTGTGTCTCGCCACCCTGGGTCTTAGGCGCCTCTGCCACCATCACGCCACCGCTAATTCCTGCTCTTCCAGCCTTTGTGCCTGCTCCACCTGTGGCACCTGTCCCAGCTCCGGCCCCAATGCCCCCTGTCCACCCTCCACCTCCCATGGAGGATGAGCCTACCTCTAAGAAGCTGAAGACGGAAGACAGCCTCATGCCTGAGGAGGAGTTTCTGCGCAGAAATAAGGTGTGTGGTCCCAGAGTGCTGCTGAGTCTAGGCAGCGGCTTTACCTGCTCCCCAGGCAGCCTCTGAGCAGAGTCGATGTGGAGTCAGCGCACAGTTCTTGTGGTGGTGATGGAGACTTGCTTTGATATGCATTGTAGGGGCCATCAGGGAGACTTGGCTTTACAAGCAACGGGACTCCGAGTAGAAGGGGGGGGGGTGGAGCTGGAACCCTGGAGGGAATCCTACATGTAATTCTTTTCTTTCTTTTTTTTTATTTTATTATTTTTTTGTGTACTGTTAAATTGTATCTGAGTAGGAGATTGACCCTCTTTCTCCAGCAGAGCATCTGGTGGATTCGAACCACATACCTCTGAGATTGCAGTGCAGCTTCTTGTCACTAGACCACCAGAGCTCCCTCCTAGGTGCAGTTTTTAACGTCTGAGAAATATTTGGGAAGTTAGCCTAGAATTCTATAAATAGAACCAATTCTCCAAGGCCCAGAAGCTAAACATGGTGACCTTTCTCCCAAAGTCCAGCCTTTGGAAGTCTGCCTTTGGTGGTGAGATTCTGTTCGGTGCTAGAACCATGGTACTGCTGGTCCCAGGGGAAGCTGCTGGCTCTAGTGAGAAGGCGAAACCAGTCCCAGCTCATTACTTTCTCCATAGATTTGGCCAATCCTTCTATTTCCCCCCTGCCCCGTGTAATAGGTTATTTTTAAGTACTGGGTACAAGGACAGAGTTAGGTATTGAGTATATTTTTGTGTTTTGTGCTCCCAGCAGTATTACTGTGCGCTAGTTGCAGTCAACCCTGTCTAGATAATGGTGTTGAAACTCCAGAGAGACTAGATTGGAGGAAATTTGAATGTGCAGCCCAGGACTTGTGATATCACAGCTTAGACTCTTTCCCCATGTTTCACTTCTGGAGATTTGCAGAATGTTATCACGCAACTTCTTCTCTTCAGCTCCTTGTTCATCAGAAGGCAGAACAAGACAATCAGAATCTGGAAATGGGAGGTTTCATGTACAGGGTCACAGATGGGTTTAGTTGTCTGTCAGGAACCAGGTAGACAGATGACTGGTCCCCCAAAACAAACTAGTTCCACTGCCATCAAGTCAGTTCTGACTCAGAATGACTGCCTCTAGGACAGAGGGCAGCTGCCCCATAGGTTTCCTAGGCAAGAAGTCTTTACAGAAGTAGACTGTCAATATCCTTTCTTCTGCAGAGTGGCTGATGGGTTCAAATCACTCTTTTCCATCAGCATGTCAGTGCTTTAACCACTGCACGACCGGGGATTTGGTGGGAAAACCCACCTTACCGCCATCAAATCGATAGTCCATTTCTATGGGGTTTTTGGGTTTCCAAAACGGTAGGCCTCCTATGAACAGCAAAAACTGCATCGTCTTTCCCCTGCAAAGTAACTGGAGGAGCCACTTAGCAGCTCAATGCATCCCATACCACACCACCAGTGATCCTTGGTTGAGGGATGGTAGGACACATTCCTCAGGCTCAGGCTCCCCACATAGAAAGGTCACCTCCTGTTTTTCAGGGTCCAGTGTCCATCAAAGTCCAGGTGCCCAACATGCAGGATAAGACGGAATGGAAGCTGAATGGCCAGGTGCTGGTCTTCACCCTCCCACTCACAGACCAGGTATGGTTTGCTGCTGCCACCCAGGATCGGGTGCAGGGGAACTAAAGGCGCAGGGAGTGCCCTCCCGCTGGCAGCCCTCACAAGCCACTAAACACCATTTTGGCCCCATAGGTCTCTGTCATCAAGGTGAAGATTCACGAAGCCACAGGAATGCCTGCAGGGAAACAGAAGCTGCAGTATGAGGTGAGTCAAGCATGTCTGTGGTCCTGCCTCTGGGGTATCAGCACCTCTGGCCTCCTAGAAGCTCAGTCCCACATAGAATCACAATGGGGAAACATCTGGATCCATCCTAGAAGTGGTGATGCTTTCTGAGCGGGCTGCAGCATGTTAGGACAAGGCTTCGATGTGGCTCCGTTACAGCTTTACATGGGATCTAGAAAATTCCTGTCTCAGTAACAGGTGGTGACTTAGAACTAAGACTTGGGAGTGGAGTGCTCTCAGAGGTTCCTGACTCTAGAGCACATCCCTGGAGCGCACTCAAACCATCTGGCTTGTTTAATGGTCCTGGAGGTGGGGATCCAGCTCAGCCTGCTGTCTGAGATCAGACTTGGGTGCTGTAAGCCCCGCCTTTGAACTTTGACTAGTCTCCATTCTAGTCTCAGTCCTGCTCTGTATACATCACTCGGTGATTTCTAAAAGCCCTAAAACCTTCACAGGTTAGTTAGGGCAAGCTGCTTGGAGCAGCTGATCTCTGAGCCAAATAGGGACAAAAGTGAAGAGAGTGGATTGATGGGAAGGAAGGAAAACTTATTCTCAGAAGAACCAGGGACCTTGATCCTCTAGCCCCTGTGTTTTCTTCAGTCCAGAGAGTAAACAGGATGTTGGGGTTCTGAGGTGACCTACATTGTATTTGAGATTGGGTTGTTGAGAACTTAGGGCATGCCATCTGTCTTGCAGGGCATCTTCATCAAGGACTCCAATTCACTGGCGTACTACAACATGGCTAATGGCGCCATTATCCACCTGGCCCTTAAGGAGAGAGGCGGGAGGAAGAAATAAGAGAGAGCCCTGCTGACCGGTCTAGCCATTCCCGTTTACCTCTCCTGTCCCCCACTCTGCCCCTAACCCGCAAGGTCCCTTTGGGACCTTAGGCCCTGCCTGCATATCTGTTTCCTCTTTCTTTGTGTGAAAGCCTAGGTTGGTCCTCTGAATTCATTCTGGTCACTACTTCCGCCTTGGTAAGCGTAGCAGGACTTTCTAAACCACTACCCCTCCCAGTGCTTTATAACATCCTGTTGCGTCAGTCTTGAGTGAATGAGATTTGTTTCTTCACGTTTTCCCGGGGATGACCATGGAATTGGTGGCACGGGGCTGGTGGAATATGGCTGTCACCATCGTTGATTTTCCTGTAGACTGTCAATAAACCTCAGACTCTTCTTGTGAAGTTCATGTAGTAAGACTTATCTGTTGGCCCCCTGTGCAGCCCCCAGGTCTTGTTATATTTCTGCTCTGAAGAATTACTAGTGTTAAGAGATCATTCTGCATTAGTCTTTTCTTTTTAAACCATTTTTTAAAAATTATACTTTGTTTATCTCTTGAAATGTTCTGATTCTCTAAAAGGCACAGCCATATCTGTTTAACATCTTAACACAAGGTGACTTCTGCATGGTAGGCACCACAAACAGTATGATGAGGTTTTATTCCTTGTTCGTTGGAGTGAAGAGACACCAGTAGATGTAACTCTCCAGTCTGATTTGCTCTGTGACCTGGTGTGAGCACAGGGATAGGAGATTGCTTTACAGTGTGTTGATTTAATAAATGCATTGTGCCAAGGCCATGCATGCTACTCTAAGAACTGTACCACATTTAATTCTCACTATTTTTAAACACTTGATCAGTTTTGACTCCTGTAGACCTCATTTCTACTTTCCACCCAAGTAAACTAGGGCACAGAGAAAATCACGCGCCCAAAGTCACACAGTAAGAAGACACAGAATGTGGGCAGAGCACCTCTCACAGTCCCTGCTCCCTAGTAAGGGCTGACATCGGCAGGTATTTTTGGAATTGTGCTGTCACAGGCAGATGAGCATTGCTGTGAGTGTTAAGAGAAAGGTGAGACCCTGTTGATAAGCAATTCCTTCTGTTAAACCTAAAGCAAAGCTTTTTATTTGCAGGCTCTTCATTTTGTTCTGATTTCCCCAAGACATCTTCTCCAGGACTCGGGTGAGACCATAGAACCAGTTTCCTTCCCACCCTGCCACGCGCAGAGCTCCCAACTTCTGTGCTCATCGTATGGCTCCATTACAGAGTGCTGCATCGCTCATGTTTTTACGTGGTTGATGTTGTGTCACCTTATCACAGTCTGTTGGCTCCTTATTTGCTGTAAGTTTCCCAAAGGGGCCAAGACTAAAAATTGGCTTACTTAAGTAGCTTGTGAGGTTTGATTGCTTCATGTGAACCCATTGGTGGTTGCTTCTCCCCCAAGAACCATCTGAGTCTCCTCCCAAGAGGGAAGAGGTTCAGGGGACCTAGCTGGGTCTCCTGCTCCACATTCTTATTTCTTCCTCAGATTGCGTCTGGAGTGGGCAGTAGGTCATAGAGAGCAGATCCTGGGTAGAACCTCTGTGAAGAGGCTTTGCCTGGAGGCCAGGAATGCTTCTAGGCGGACTGAGAGTGAATAGCTCCTTTGAGCTGCTCTTTGGGGGCTGGGCCCAGTTTCCCGGAGTGTCTGAATGAACATCTGTGCTGGTCAGCTCTGCTGTAGAAGGCCCATTGACCAGGCTGCCTTACGAGGGTTAGTAACCACAGCCTAGCATACGGCCCAGTACTCCACACTTCCTCCTTTGGGCCTACAGCGTGTGGGCAGTGCCTTGTGCTTTATAAAGCTGCTGGGACTAATGAGAGCTTCGTCATTTTCACTGTGTCTCCTCTGAGGACCATTAGCCTGTTTGCTAGATGAGGTGGACTGTACGGGGTCACACAACATGAGCAGCTCATCTGTGCCAATTGACCACACCATCCACTGCTCCACCAGATGCCTGGGGTGGCCTCTGGGAAAACCAGGCTGGACCTGACCCTTGGGAACCCAGCCAGACGCCCAGACTTCAAATTTTACTTTCAGTTCTACCAGCTTGAAGTGAACACTGGAATGTAGCCCAGTGGAGATCACTAGTAATCAGGCCCACTTAACTTTAAAAAAATAACTTAGAAATTAAAAATATTTCTTTCATTCTGGGATGTATATTTGAGTAGAAGTTATGAGTTATAAAATAATCCCTGTAGGTATTGTATATATGTCGCTCTGGTGGCCTACTGGCAAGAACCTCTGCTGTAATCCCAAAGGTGGTTCTATTCCATCAGCCTGTTTCTGTGGTAGAAGAATGGATCATCTGTGAAATAACCCACCTAAAAACCCACCTGTGGGTTGGTTCTGACGCACTGGTACACAACAACAGGTAGTATATAGCACTTAACCCTGTCATTGAAAAGTCAGAAATGTATGCAAATAGAGCTTTTTTTATTATAATTCATTTTAATGAAAGTTTATAGAGACTTTGGTTTTCCAGTCATTCATTATTGCACTTTTCTCCCTGCCCCCCAATTCACTCTTCTCCTTGAAAAGAAAAACTCTCATTGTTACACAGTCTGCCCCCAAGTCCACTCCACTATGCAGCCTTCACTCTTGACTTCTGTAATGACAAGAATACCCATTCATATTAAAAAAAAAGAATACCCATTCATATCCCTTTTAAACAGTTTTCTCCTTTGTCTGTTTCAATGCAATATACATCATTTCTCCCCTCCTTTTCTGTCTTCCCTCAACCCTGATGTCAGTTCCATTTTACAACAGTGGCCCAATGCAGTATTTGTTTGTGACTGATATATTTCAGCATAATATCCTCCAGAGTCATCCATTTTTCATAATATTTCATTAGTTCCTTGTTTTTCAGTGCTGTATGGTATTCCATTGTGTGAATATACCAGAGCTGCTCTGTCTATTCATTTGTTGATGGGCACTTAGGTTGTTTCCAGCTCTTTGCTATTGCGAACAAAGCTGCAATAAACATTGGTATGCATGTATCTGCTTGGGTGGCAGTTATGGTTTCTTTAGGGTAAATTCCCAGTCGTGGCCCAGTAGTGGAATTGCTGGGTCAAATGGTATTTCTATTTGCAACTTTTTGAGAAAGCGCCGTACAGCCTTGCATAGTGGTTGCACCATTTTACACTCCCGCCAAGAGTGAATAAGGGTTCCAGTTTCTCCACAACCTCGTAAATACTTAGGAGTAAACCTAACCAGAAGTACAAAGGAACTGCTCAAAGAAAATTACAAAACATTATTACAAGCAACAAAAAGAGTACTGGAGAGGTGGAAGAATATCCCTTGCTCATGGATAGGAAGACTCAGTATTGTGAAAATGACAATACTACCAAAGGCAATTTACACGCTCAGTGCAATTCCAATATAAATACCAATTCCGTTCTTCAACGAGATGGAAAAGGCAATTTCCAATTTCATTTGGAATGGAAAGAGGCCCAGAATAAGCAAAGCACTCCTTAAAAAGAGAAACAAGGTAGGAGCAATCCCACTCCCTGATTTCAAATTGAGCTTATTTAAGAGCACATGGCTGTCCTTGGTATATAAGATAATTTTTTAAGTGAATTGTTTTAATTCTGATTTGAAAATTTACAAAGAAACTAGTGCTTCTTTCACTCATTCATACACGTTTTGTTTTGTTTCTACCCAATCCCCACTTAAGGTTTTTGTAAATTTACATTTTTATTAATAAGTAAAATGTAACCTCTCAGAATTATGACTATTATCTCTTCTGGATTCACTTTGGGATTTGTTCTTAACTATTCTGCATTCTAATTGAGAGTATCCAAAAGAATGATTCCAGGCATCCTGAACCCTAGAGATCCATGAAGTGGTACAAGGTATCCAGGGAAGGTACTGCCTTGAACTAACTTCAGATAAGCCAACCAATGTTTTCTCTCCCTGAGCTGTGATTTAATCAAGGTGGTGGTGTTAAGTGCCATGCGTGAGTCATGGAGGACTCAGGAACCCTATGAATGAAATACCTGAACACTTGTATAACATTGGTCGTTTCTCCATGTTCATGGAGTTTCTGGAGGCAAGCTATTTCGGAAGTGGATGCCACTCCTGCTTCCAAGCTTGTGTTAATCGGGAGCTCCACCAGACACTGTCCACCGTGGATGACCATTATTGCATTTGACACATCAGCGTCACAGCAACCAGGAGTTACCTCTGTACAGCAAATAGATTTAAGGGGCAGGGGGGAAGGGGGATACTTGTAGACGCAGTTTAAACCTGTGACATGAGGGAGGTACAGTGTTTCCACCATTGAGTGAAGACGCACCCTTTTCTGTGGGTATGTGGGGGCGGGGAGTTAATCCGGAAACCGCTGCTAGAAGGGATTCTTAACTTGATGAAGCCCCAGAACAGAAGGCAAAGAAAAAGGAAGGAAAAAGAAAAAAACCAAACAAACCAGATCGTAACCTTGGAGATAAAAACAGCATCAAACTTGAAGCTTCCTCTGCTAAGGGGCTGCTGAGTGAGTTCAGATTTGTGACCCCATGTGCATCAGGATGAAGCACTGCCATTATATTATTAGGATCTCTGTGTTTGAGTCCGTTCCCAATAGCCACTGTGCCGTTCCATCCCATTGGACATCTTTTTTCACTGACTGTGTTACTAAGCACACTTTCTCCAGGGACTGCTTCCTCCTGATAACATGGCCCGATGTGATGTGAAGTCTCACCACCTTTACCAAGGAACATCCTGGCTGCATTTGTTGGTTTGTTTGGTAGTCCATGGTACAGTCCATTTTCTTAGCACCACAATTCAAAGACATCAAAGCCTTGTCAGTTTTCTTTATTCAGTGTCCAGCTTTCATATGTATATGAAGCAGTTGAAAGTACTGCAGTTTTGGAGCAGGCACACCTTAGTCCTCAAAGTGATATCCTTGCTCTTTGGCACTTTAAAGAAATGGCCTTTAAAAAAGTAGTTGTTGTGTGCCTTTGAATCAGAACCTATTCAAAACTGACCCTGGTTTTGGTTTTTCAGAGACTGTAAATTGCATGGGAGGAGATTGCCCATTTTTCTCCCACAGAGTAGCTGGTGGGTTAGAACTGCATGCCTTTGGATTGGCAGCACAGT